AGGTGTGCCAAGATTGTCATTCCCTGCTAGAAGCCTCTAATTGCAAACATCCTTGTCTATGGCTCAGTGTATTATTATTATTATTTTTTTGCAGTTTTTGGTTGGGGCCGGGTTTGAACCCACTACCTCTGCCATAGGGGACCAGCACCCTACTCCTTTGAGCCACAGGCGTCACCCTCTCTCAGTGTATCATTATTTCCTCAGTGACCTGATGTGATAATCTGGAAAATGTTGGAGAAGCACTAATCTAAGCTATAGCATTGATTCTCAGCTGGGGGTGGTAATGTCTAGAGACATTTTTATTTGTCACTAGTAGGAGGAGTCACTTTTGGCAACTAGTAGGTAAAGACCAAAGATGCTGCTAAACATTCTATGAAGGATTATTCTGTTTAAATGTCAATAGTGTCATTTTTGAGAAACCTTGAGCTAAAGTAACCTGAACCGTTATACTTCGAGTGAACAGATGGTAACAGATTCTTGGCAGAAGCTTCAAATGTCAATGCCAAATACTTCAGTATCCAAATTAAGGTACTGCCATGGAAGTGGGGAAGTAAGTACCCCCCACATCTCAAACTTAGTCTGACAGACTTCAAGGGGCCATTTAGAAAGGATGACACATGCCCACTGAAATCTTAGAGAGTTGAGACCTGATAACTGATTCACAACTGAAAGTTTTTTTTTTTTTTTAAATTTTCTGAGACAAAGTCCTACTTTGTTGCCCTGGGTAGAGTGCTGTAGTGTCACAGCTCACTGCAGCCTCCCCTCCTGGGCTCAAGCGATTCTCCTGCCTCAGCCTTCCAAGTAGCTGGGACGGCAGGTGCCTGCCAAAGACCTGGCTAGTTTTTCTCCTTTTAGTAGAGATGGGGGCTTGCTCTTGTTCAGGCTGGTCTTAAACTCTTTAGTTCAAGCAATCCACCCGAGTGCTGGGATTACAGGTGTGAGTCATCACGCCCCACTTGTACATCGCTATTTTTTACTTGCCATTACCTCAGTTGCAAAAACAAGAAGGCAATTGTTTTGATATGACCATTCAATTCTATTCTTCCTTCTTCTCTTCATTTTTTTCCTCCTCTTTCCTTTCTTCCTTCTCTTCATTTTTTTTCCCTGCTGCATTAGAAAAAACTTTAGTACCTGGCCTGATGCGCAGCTCTAGGTGGTGCAATTCACATTATATTCCCCTTGAATGGTCCCTCTAGAATTCTGCTCCAGCGTCAGTGTGACTTAGCTAAGTGCCCACCATAGGGAATGTCTAATCTCTTCTCTCAGAGAGGGAAGTTAACTCATTTCCTAGTGATAGTGCCCTTCATTATAATCCATCAAGAGATACTATTTAAAGAGAAGTAAAAGATTAAGGATTTTGGATTAAGGTATATAAGGATAAAAATAAACACCCAAGAGTAGAGGGGGCAGGAATCCACTGAACTTAAAAGTGGAAGAGGTATTGCTCTTGGTCAGAGTGCATTTGTTTTGTGAGGACAGGGCCTCAGTGAGGATTTCCGTGGTGTCCCCATGAGAGGTACTTCTCTGCTATCATTTAGGCTTAAGTCACACTTTTCTTGAACAGCCGTAACAGTTGCCTTCCCTGCACTGATAGTGCATTAGAACCCCTCCAGCAGAGATAAGCCCAAAGAAGACCTTGGTTACCAAGCAGGGGAAATGGGGTCTTCCGGGTGGAATTGAATTTGCTGGAAGACTAATAACAGAATACTTCTAAAACTTTTTTTTTTTTTTTGAGACAGAGTCTCACAACTTCCCCCTTGGTAGAGTGTCATGATATCACAGCTCACAGCAACCTCAGACTCGAGCTTAAGTGATTCTCTTGCCTCAGCCTCCCAAGTAGCTAGGACCACAGGCACCTGCCACAAGGCCCAGCTATTTTTTTCTTATAATTGTCACTGTTGTTTGGCAGGCCCAGGCTGGATTCGAACCCGCCAGCTCTGGTGTAGTTGGCTGGCACCCTAGCCACTGAGTTGCAGGTGCTGAGCCCTTCTAATACACTTTCAATGCAGGAATTTTCTGGGAAGTGACTTTTGCCTGTTTTTCCATTTGATTGCCTGTTTTTCTTATTGATTTGTGGAAACATATATGGATGAGCCTTTATCAGTTATATATCTTTCAAATATCTTCTATTTGCTAGCTTGACTTTTCATTGCTTAAGGATGACTTTTGATACAGAAATGATTGTTTTTTTTTCTTTCTTTTTTTCTGTTGAGACAGAGTCCATCCTATGCCCTGAGCAGATTGCAATGGCACTGTGTCTCACTACAACCTCAGACTCGGGCTGTGGGCATCCTACTGCCTCAGTCTCCGGAGCCGCTGGGATAACAGGCACTGCTGTGGCGCCAGGCTGGGTTTTTCCATTTTTTTCATGAATCAGGGGTCTCACTCTCGCTCAGACAAGCCTCAAACTCCTGAGCTCAAGCAATCCTCCCACCTCAGCCTCCCACAGTCCTGGGATTACAGGCCTTAGCCACCGCTGTGTCTGGCCAGAAATGAGGTTTTTTTTTTTTTGAGACAGAGTGTCACCCTTGGTAGAGTGCTATGGCGTCACAGCTCACAGCAACCTCAAATTCCTGGGCTCAAGTGATTCTCCTGCCTCAGCCTCCCAAATAGCTGGGACCACAGGTGCCTGCCACAGTGCCCGGCTATTTTTTGGTTGTAGTTATTACTGTTGTTTGGCAGGCCTGGGCTGGACTCGAACCCTCCAGCTCTGGTGCAGCTCTGGGTGGCGCTCTAGCCTCTGAGCCACAGGTGCCAAGCCTCAGCTTACTTTTTAGTTTTCCTCTTTTTCTTGGGGTGCTTTCCTTTGCCAAGAATGGGGTCTTCAGTCCCCATTCTCCCAGCAACTTATCATCCCCCAAAAGAATAGAAAATTTAGAACACCTGTCTTGGAACAAACCTATAAAATTCTCATTTCAGTTAGGAAGTTATTTGCCACAAGACATCAGGGAACAAATGAATTCACTGGAGTTCTCTTATCTTTGTACAGAGGAGTATAAGCATTTTTTTTTTTTAGAGACAGAGTTTCACTTTATCGCCCTCGGTAGAGTGCTGTGGCATCATAGCTCACAGCAACCTCCAACTCCTGGGCTTAGGTGATTCTCTTGACTCAGCTTCCTGAGTAGCTGGGACTACAGGCGCCCACCACAAGGCCCAGCTATTTTTTGTTGCAATTTGGCTGGGGCCAGGTTCAGACCTGCCACCCTCTGTATATGGGGCTGGCACCCTACCCACTGAGACACAGGCACCACCCTAGTATAAGTATTTAAAACATTCAGATATTTGAGTTTTTTAAAATAAAAAATTAACTACCTTGCTATTATTCTGTAAACTGTCTTTTTTTTTTGAGACAGTCTCACAATGTCACCCTCAGTAGAGTGTAGTGACATAACAGCTCACAGCAACCTCCAACTCTTAGGCTTAAGTGATTCTCTTGCCTCAGCCTCCCAAGTAGCTTGTACTACAGGCACCCGCCACAACACCCGGCTATTTTTTTTGTTGCAGTTGTCATTGTTGTTTAGCTGGCCCAGGCCAGGTTTGAACCTGCCAGCCTGGCTGTATGTGGCTGGCACCAAGCCTGTAAACTGTCATATTTTGAAATAGGCTGAAAATAAAAGGAGTAGTAGGATCATGAGTACCCTCCTAACTGTGAAACTTCTATTCTCATCAGTAAATCCACCATAGGTGCAAACCAAGGACTCATTATCTACATCTACATGTCATGGTTAATTTCTTTCATTTTTAACCGCAAGAATAAGTAAAGGTTCTGTATTTTCTACTTGTTTCACGTGGAGATAGAGCATCTTGCACAGCACTTGGGTACATACCCTCATTTTGGAGACCAAAGAAGTAGAGATTAATTAATGAGACAGTTTGAAACTGGAAATTTTAACATTTTTATTAATTTAAAGGTTTCTTTTAATTCACAGATTTGAACATCAGTCGAATGAATTATTTTATTTTATTTTATTTATTTATTTTGAGACAGAGCCTCAAGCTGTCCCCCTGGGTAGAGTGCCATGGCATCACAGCTCATAGCAACCTCCAACTCCTGGGCTCAAGTGAGTCT